ACCCTCACTGTAATGTAAAAACAGTAATTAAACAGAGTAGTATCCATATTATTTATTAAATAACCCATTAAATTATATTTATTTAACATCTACCAAAGCCTAAACCCTCACAGTAATGTAAAAACAGTAAATATAATGAGTAATATTCAGATTATTTATTAAATTGCCCATTAAATGATATTTAATTAACATCTACCCAACCCTAAACCCTCACAGTAATGTAAAAACAGTAATTAAACAGGGTATTATCAATATTATTTATTAAATTACCCATTAAATGATATTTAATTCACATCTAAATTAAATAAAGAAATTGAATTGATGTGTGAATATAAACCCTACATTCCCTTAATGTGCAGGTGTACGTGGGCTGCGAGGAGATCAACACACAGGAGCTGGATTTACCAATACAGCAGATCCTGGATCAGCAGAACGCAGAGATATCCGGATTGAGGATCGCTAAAGGAGCCGCCAAATCTGACCGCTTCATGGTGAGTCCGTCTCTCCATCTCATTAGCATCTCCAGCAGCCCTGAGTGAGAAGCAGCCGTCTGTCCATTCGCCATGAGAGTGTTTGAGCTGCTGAAGATGATGTCAGCATAGACTAAGAGGATTATAGATGTGGAGGTGATGATGAACAGAGACAGGAGTGACATAGACTGACAGAAGCATCAACACACACTCACACTGCAGCACACCTGACCAGCACTCACAACACACACACTGCTGTTTTACATCTGTCGCACAGCCATCTGTAGCTCCGCCCTCTTCTGAAAGGAGCACAATCTCATTTGCATTTAAAGCGACAGTCACCAAAACACCACAATCAGGATCAAAGCCTGAAAGGGGCAGTTTCAGAGAGCTGGAGAACATCATCTGTGTGACATTCTCAGCTCTGACACACACACACACACACACACATGAGAGACAGAACAGAGATGCATTTACAGCTCGTGTGAGGCTGCAGAATAGGTCTTCTTTAAATTTGCTGAAATATTGAACACTACAGAAGATATTCTGAAGAATGCTGAAAACCTGTAACCATTGACTTCTATGTGTTTTCTCTACAATGGAAGTCAATGGTTACAGGTGTTCAGCTGTACCCAGAATATCTTCTTTGTGTGTTTGTCAGACTAAAGAGGTTTGGAATGGGTTGAGGGAGGGTAAATAGTAGGTAAATGTTCATTTTTGGGTGAACTGTCCCTTTAATGAAAGTGTTCCTCCTCTAATGAGAGTTTCAGCGGTGTGTAAGCGAGTGTTTTTGTTCGACATTCTCCGTCTGAATGCTCCGTGTAACAGAAGCTGCTTGCTTTGGAAAAAGTCTCTCGGGTTTTCACTGTTTTCCCATTTTTTCCAGGGAGTCCTCCAGAATGTGCGGTTTGTGTTTGGGACGACGGTGGACGCGATTTTACGCAATAAAGGATGCCAGAGCTGTGAGTCTCCACTGCAGTTTATTATTCAAGTGTGTGTGTGTGTGTGTGTGAGGGAGAGAGAGACCCTAGACCACATAGTCAAAGTCACAATCTTACGGCTGAATAAATAATCTCTCCACTGACGTGTAGCTGAGATGGAGCTATTGATCACCTGCAATCTGAGGGTTCAGAAAAATATTGGCAAAATGACCTTTTATAGCACAGGTGTCAAACTCAGTTCCTGGAGGGCCGCAGCTCTGCACAGTTTAGTTCCAACCCTATCTAAACACTCCTGATCAGGCTAATGGAGTGCTTCAGGCTGCTTTGATACTCAGGTGTGTTGAAGCAGGGCTGGAGCTAAACCCTACAGAGCTGCAACCCTCCAGGAACTGAGTTTGACACCGCTGTTTAAGAGTTTTCCAAATGAAGATCTCAGCTATGCACGTAACTAATTAAAGATATTTTGTTGCATATTTACTAATCAAAGTTTTGACGGATTTATGAAATGAAATGCACTGAATGTTGCATGATCTTTCCATGATAATCTAATGATTTTAGCGTAAAATAAATATCAACACTGCTGACTCATACAATGCATTCTGACCAATTCCCAAAAATAAACCTATAAGAGTTCACACTCAGCTGAGGATTGATTATAAGCGTGTTTGGCATGCTGTCCCGGGAGAGAGCCCTGAGCTCAAAAGATCCTCAAACCCGGGGCTCTCTCCCATGTGCAGGGCGAGAGGGGAGATTGAGCTCAGGTAGATCTTGAGAACTCCCCTGCTTATTTGTGGCTATTGATGAATTGCTTCATGAGGGGAGAAGACTGTTGGTTAGGAACTTGACTATGGTGCCAGTTTGGTTTAGTCAATTTATTTATGACGCATGTGTTTGGACTGTGGGAGATTCTTCAGAATCTCTCCTTTTGTGTTCAACAGAAGAAACTCACACCAGTTTGGAACAAATTTTGGGGTGAACTATTCCTTTAAAGGCAACACGGTGGCGCAGTGGTTACCACTGTGGCCTCACAGCAAGAAGGTCACTGGTTCGAGCCTCGGCTAGGTCAGTTAGTATTTAAGTGTGGAAGTTTGCATGTTCTCCCCATGTTGGTGTGGGTTTTCTCCGGGTGCTCCGGTTTCCCCCACAGTCCAAACACATGCGCTATAGGGGAACTGATGAATCGTAGTGTATGAGTGTGTGTGAATGAGTGTGTATGGGTGTTTTCCAGATCAGGGTTTCAGTTGGAAGGTTATCCACAGTGTAAAACATGCTGGAATAGTCAGCGGTTCCTTCCACTGTGGCGACCCCTGATGAATAACGGGATTAATGAATGAATTGAAATGATCGGATGTAAATGTGTGCGCTGAATGATGCATTGTGTGTTGCTGTAAACACAGCGAGCTTCATCCCTGACGTCCTGACCCTGGAGAAACACGTCAACGGGTCGAGTCCCGCCATCCGCACACACTACACCGGACACAAGACTAAAGGTGACCATTAAATTCAGTCATCATTCAGTCCCTTCACTAGATTCAGACCTTTATAAGTTTCTTTCTCCTGTTAACCCTTGTGTGCTGTTGGGTCGTTTTACCCACTATAAGCTGATTTCAAGACTGAATTTGCCCAGAGCTTTCTCTGTGTTCAGCAGATGTAATGAATATTGCTGACACATCCTAATTTGATTTATATTTTGGGAAAATGCTCTGACATTCTTCATAAGCTCATCAACAGACTGACTCCCCTTTGGTGATGTTGGGGCTGTTTTCGCTCCATTGTCTTCCATTATAATCACATTTATTGATTGTAGAGGCATGACAGCAGATAATCATGCATTCCTGATTGCTGCTGGCTTCCCCTGTTGTATGTTTATAATGTGATTATAATGGAAGTCAATGGGTCAAAAACAGCCACCAACATCACCAAGGGGA